GCTTTAGAGATGATAGTGTTAATCCACTGGATCTTCAATACCTCCAATACCAATGGAAAATCTAGCGTCTCCCTCGGGAAGGCAAGGAGAGTCATAAATTTTGCAAATTCGATTTTCACCCTTTGCTTTTCGTAAATATAATCTGTAAGCCGATGATCATTAGTTGAGCAATAGAATTCGAGAAAAAACTTGCATGATGGAATTTACCTTGTGGTTGATGCGTGAGCTAAAATATTTCCACCGATGGGCTTTTTGTCCGAACTACCACCTGGCATACCTCCATCAATGGTTGCTACGACTTGATTTGTGATGACAATCGCAACGCCATACTTCAATTATAAAACGAGTGTTTTTAATCGTTCTATACTCGATAATAATCACAAAAATCTGACTTACTTCGTCAGCCAAACGTAAAAGACCACGTAAGAACTTGGCCAGATGCATTTGCCGGGCTGCAAGCACGCCCCTCCCTGAATAATCTGTTCTGTACAAATCTGTAACGCTATCAACGATAAGAAGTGCAAACCTAAAAGCGATGTAAAAAGATCAATTATTTATTTAGTGTTAAAGAACATATATGGATGACAATCTCGATTCGGACATCACAGCAGCAGCTTGAATTAACAGGCACATTTGATGATCTTTATATGCCAGGACTTCTTCGGGTTTCATTCCAAACCGATTGGCGATATGGACGAAACGTACCTTTAGTGTCAATGTAAATGCATTTTCCTTCCGCACCACTCACATCTACTGGAAGCTTTTATCAAATGCCATATTAATATAACTTTTTTTACTAGTTGATTGAAAACGAATAGCAATTTACCTGACAGGCAACTGCAAGAGTATGACATGTCTGACTTTTTCCTGTTCTAAATTCACCAAATATTTCCGTAATTGATCCAGATTCAATACCCTCTAGTATTTTTGAAATTTTATTAGACCAACTTTTAAAGTTCTAAAGAAAAAACATGACCGAACACATACTTCCTCCAAGAAGTTTGTCCAATTCTTGAGATCCAGTTGTAATATAAAGATAATATTCTCTTCTTACTCGAATTTCGGTTGCTGTCTCGAATCTTTACACCGAAGGGACCAATTTAATTGCTGGAAAAAAGAAGGATCGATCAAATATGTTAGGTAAGGTCCGTAAAATAAATTCAAACTAACCTTCAGCTTGGATCTTATCTGCTTTCAATTCTGAAACTCCTTTGATTTCATATAAGGCCTTTTTAGGAGAGAAAGCAACAGATTGTACAGTAGTATATCCGTTCTCGATAAGCTTTTTTACATCCGAAGAATTGATT